GTTTATACTTGTAAATACTGTATTTATAGTTGTAAATATGTTTATACTTGTAAATTACTGTAGTATAGTTGTAAATTACTGTAGTTTATACTTTAAATTACTAGTTTATACTTGTAAATTGTTATATTAAATTACTGTAGTTATACTTGTAAATACTGTAGTTTATACTTGTAAATTACTGTAGTTTATACTTAAATTGTAATTTATAGTTGTAAATTACTGTAGTTTATACTTGTAAATTACTGTAGTTTATACTTGTAAATTACTGTAGTTTATATGTAAATTACTGTAGTTTATACTGTAAATACTGTAGTTTATACTTGTAAATCATCAGTTTATACTTGTAAATTACTGTAGTTTATACTTGTAAATTACTGTAGTTTATACTTGTAAATTACTGTAGTTTATACTTGTAATTACTGTAGTTTATACTTGTAAATTATGTAGTTTATACTTGTAAATGTAGTTTATACTTGTAAATTACTGTAGTTTATACTTGTAAATTACTGTAGTTTATACTTGTAAATCATCAGTTTATATGTAAATTACTGTAGTTTATACTTGTAAATTATGTAGTTTATACTGTAAATTACTGTAGTTTATACTTGTAAATAGTGTTTTATACTTAATTGTAGTTTATACTTGTAAATTACTGTAGTTTATACTTGTAAATTAGTAGTTTATACTTGTAAATTACTGTAGTTATACTTGTAAATTACTGTAGTTTATACTTGTAAATTACTGTAGTTTATACTTTAAATTACTGTAGTTTTATTGTAAATACTGTAGTTTATACTTGTAAATTCTGTAGTTTATACTTTGTAAATTACTGTAGTTTATACTTGTAAATTACTGTAGTTTATACTTGTAAATTACTGTAGTTTATACTTGTAATACTGTAGTTTATACTTGTAAATTACTGTAGTTTATACTTGTAAATTACTGTAGTTTATACTTGTAAATTATGTAGTTTATACTTAAATTACTGTGTTTATATTTTAAATTACTGTAGTTTATACTTGTAAATTATTGTAGTTTATACTTGTAAATTACTGTAGTTTATAGTTGTAAATTACTGTAGTTTATACTTGTAAATTACTGTAGTTTATAGTTGTAAATTACTGTAGTTTATACTTGTAAATTACTGTAGTTTATACTTGTAAATTACTGTAGTTTATACTTGTAAATTACTGTAGTTTATACTTGTAAATTACTGTAGTTTATACTTGTAAATTACTGTAGTTTATACTTGTAAATTACTGTAGTTTATACTTGTAAATTACTGTAGTTTATACTTGTAAATTACTGTATTTTATACTTGTAAATTACTGTAGTTTATACTTTTAAATTACTGTAGTTTATACTTGTAAATTACTGTAGTTTATACTGTAAGTACTGTAGTTTATACTTGTAAATTACTGTAAGTTTATACTTGTAAATTACTGTAGTTTATACTTATAAATTACTATGGTTATACTTGTAAATTACTGTAGTTTATACTTATGAAATTACTGTAGTTTTATACTTGTAAGTACTGTAGTTTATCTTTGTAAATGCTGTAGTTTATACCTGTAAATTACTGTAGTTTTATACTTGTAAATGCTGTAGTTTATGCTTGTAAATACTGTGGTTATACTTGTAAATTACTGTAGTTTATACTTGTAAATTACTGTAGTTTATACTTGTAAATTACTGTAGTTTATAGTTGTAAATTACTGTAGTTTATACTTGTAAATTACTGTAGTTTATAGTTGTAAATTACTGTAGTTTATACTTGTAAATTACTGTAATTTATACTTGTAAATTACTGTAGTTTATACTTGTAAATTACTGTAGTTTATACTTGTAAATTACTGTAGTTTATACTTGTAAATTACTGTAGTTTATACTTGTAAATTACTGTAGTTTATACTTGTAAATTACTGTAGTTTATACTTGTAAATTACTGTAGTTTATACTTGTAAATTACTGTAGTTTATACTTGTAAATTACTGTAGTTTATACTTGTAAATTACTGTAGTTTATACTTGTAAATTACTGTAGTTTATACTTGTAAATTACTGTAGTTTATACTTGTATATTACTGTAGTTTATACTTGTAAATTACTGTAGTTTATACTTGTAAATTACTGTAGTTTATACTTGTAAATTACTGTAGTTTATACTTGTAAATTACTGTAGTTTATACTTGTAAATTACTGTAGTTTATACTTGTAAATTACTGTAGTTTATACTTGTAAATTACTGTAGTTTATACTTGTAAATTACTGTAGTTTATACTTGTAAATTACTGTAGTTTATACTTGTAAATTACTGTAGTTTATACTTGTAAATTACTGTAGTTTATACTTGTAAATTACTGTAGTTTATACTTGTAAATTACTGTAGTTTATAGTTGTAAATTACTGTAGTTTATACTTTAAATTACTGTAGTTTATACCAGTAAATTACTGTAGTTTATACCTGTAAATTACTGTAGCTTCTTATACTTGTAAATTACTGTAGTTTATACCTGTAAATTACTGTAGTTTATACCTGTAAATTACTGTAGTTTATACTTTTTGTAAATTACTGTAGTTTATACTTGTAAATTTAGTTTATACTTGTAAATTACTGTAGTTTATACTTGTAAATTACTGTAGTTTATACTTGTAAATTACTGTAGTTTATACTTGTAAATTACTGTAGTTTATACTTGTAAATTACTGTAGTTTATAGTTGTAAATTACTGTAGTTTTAAGTTAATTTGATGTAAGTTGGGTGTTTTGAGTTGGTTGTGTTTGGTAATACTGTAGTGTGTTTATGTGGAGAGAGAGAGAGAGAGAGAGAGAGAGAGAGAGAGAGAGAGAGAGAGAAATACAATGAGAGATACAGACAGTCAGAAAAACAAAGATAAAGTCAGAAATACAATGACAGAGAGAGAGATAGTTAGAAATACACTGAAGAGAGAGATAGAGACAATAAACACGAGATAGAGTTAGAGTGAGATATACAATGAGAGAGAGAGTGAGACAGAGGTGACACAAGGAAGTGGACAAGGTAGGTTTCTTAAGATTATAGAGACTTACAACACCTCAAGACAATAGTGACCTTTAGTGACCTCTGACAAAAGGGCTATATTGCTTCTTACTGTTGTGACCCCCTCCACCACACTCATACACTGACACCTTAACATACATACATACATACACACTCACACCTAAACATACATACATACACACTCACACCTAAACACACCTAGGAGTGAATTTGTTTAAGGTGTAGAAGCTGTCGCCAACAACACACCCTGAGTTAGCGAGCTGCATGACCCAGTGTCAAGGAATAGTCCGAGAAGACCGGACAACTCGCCAACTGCACTGGCTAACCATTACCCCGGAACACGATCGGCAAATCGATTAACATCCAGGTTCCCAATTACTGCTGGGTAGACAGAGGCAAATGGCGTAAAGAAACTTGACCACAGTTTCACCCTGCCAGGGATCGAACCCGGGTCCTCACGTTTAAGGGGCTAGCATGCTGACCATTACACCAAAGGGAGTATTACGTACGTGTTCGAATCACGGAGGTGTTAGAATCATTATATTTGTATTAAAGTGACTTGAGTTAATGGGTTTTAGGCCTTTTTTGTCGTGATGCTTAAAGATTTATTTTTTTAGATTGCCCCCGAATGGGCTAGTTTATTGGGCACCCCCTTACATCCTGTGCAAGGTGAAGTGCAGAGGCGTTTACAGCGCCCATCTGGGAAGCATGCGGAGTTCATGCTTGCCTTTATGGTCTTGCATTAGAGCGTGGAAGCCTGAAGGGTCACGGGTTTTGTCAGCAAGTTACATAAAGTGACAGAATGATGAGTGTGTGGGGGGGGAAATATCCCGGTACAATTTATCTGTTTATGCCAAAGCGTGGGAGGTCCCTAATAATGTCAAGTGCCAGGCTATAGCCATAGGCATTGACAATATTGAGGGACATACCTTTAGTGTGAT